TCTAATGGAAGCTTGACATAAGTATTTTCCGAGATTACAAAGTTCCTTAATAATTTGTACACCTATAAGTTGAATTAATTTTCAAACACTGGATTTCTTATCATACTTTTTTTCAAATACTTCAATGTTAGATCACGATAAAAAGGACATTGTAGAATAAAATGAAATTCGTCTTCACCAACATTCGAAGAACACATTTCATGTAATCTATTTTTCCTATTTTCATTAGTGTATCTACCAATTTCAGCATTTAGATTGTAGACAGATACATTCTTCCAAACATGATTTTAGTAGAATACTTTGTGTCCCCTTTAATTTAAAAAAAAAATATTTTATAATTTTCAGCTTTTTATATTTCTTCATAGGTGTTCTTCAGAGTTTCAAATAAAGAAGATTGTTACAGGCACTCTTTTTTTACACGAAGTAACAAAAATTACTGTGTATTTTTTCTAAATTTATACCTTTATGAAATCTTCACACCTCTGCTCTATAATTAAGAATACTACATACATACATTTCAATAAGTGATATTTGAGTTTCAACATTAAAAGTATAGTTGCAGAATTTTTTGTTCAACGCCAAAATGCTTTCCCCAATATATATTACTTTAAACACAGGTATATAACATGTAAAGATAGACAGTACCGACACGTGTAAATTAAGTGCATTGTTCAGGATTAAAAGCCGCGGCTTTTAAAATATATAAAGGTTATTATCTTCCTGAATGAGTCCAACCTATAATAAGAAGAGCACGTAAGTCTGTCTTGCATTAAAAAAGTAGAAAAGGGGGTTTGAGATTTAAGGAGACACTTTAGTTTCTAATGGAAGAAGTTCTAAGTTTTTTGGGCTACGAGAAAAGCTTAAAACTTGAATGATATGTCAAACATTTTTATTTATTTGGGGGGGGGGGGTCAAAATATTTGCCTTTTTGGTCTCCTGGGTGGACACCTTTTTCATAAGCAGCCTATGGGAGGGGTTGGATACTCTTGCTTTTTAATCTAGTTTTCAAAAGAGATCTTTTAAAATAGAAAGCCGCTGATATGTTATGAAAGCATATAAAACATTTCCCGAAAAATTAAGACCTTTTAAGAAAATTAAGTCTCATATTTTACCAAAATCGCTGATAAAACGTACATTATACAATATTAACTATTGCATAAAGATAAAAGAGTGCCTAAAGCAAAGACGTGCATCACCACCACCAGGCATCACGTGACTTCTATTAATAGCTGATAAAACGTAAACTATTATTAACTATTGCATACATATCAAAAAGTGTCTAATGCAAAGACGTGCACCACCACGTCATCACGGGACTTCTATTAACAGCGAAATGTTCTTTAATTTAAAAAAAAAGCTAACAGAAAAACAAGAATACCCCGGAGTTATATAATTTCTTTGAGTTAATAATATATTCTAAAAAACATCTATTTTGCTTAAAAAGTGTTGCTAGAATCAGTACTGTCCTGTCAGTAAAATAATTATAACACATATTTGCACAAAACCGATGTTTTGAATCTTATACATATGAACCGAGATTTTACGTAAAACTATGCTTAACTCGGGAATCTAGCAGCTCTTTCCAAGTATTTTAGAAGACATACTTTCAATCTGTATAGATTTTATGTTCTTAAATATCCAGCTTATTGTTGTTCTGTTGCATTTTTTGTCAGAGGACAGAGGAAAAGCCGACATGGATACGTATATAGCTGACTGTTTTCAATAAAGAATGCCATCGATGAATATAAATTAGCTTGCTTTATGTACACATATAATGTCATCGGTAGTAGATTTTAATCAAAATGACAGATACAGCACTATAAAATAAAAATATTTTATTTCTGTTAATGTTTACACGTTTCTATATATTTTCTAGAGTTAGATTGCATCTCTAAATACCAATATTACGAAAAGGTGTGTTCTAAAATTTACGTAATCTCTCCTACTATGTCGTCATAATGTATCACTGATTTAGTCAGGGTAGAATATTCTGTATGCTTCCTTATTACTCCTGCGCCCATTTGTCTATTGCTCCTAAGTCATATGTACTGGTGTTCAAAAGTTAATAAGTATAAAATATGTTGTGAAATTGTTATAAATATAATAGAACCAAATGTAATTTAGAATGGAATTTAGAAAAAGAAACGTGTGTCCCACATATGTTCAGATCTTCTTGAACAATTCGTCGATAAATAATTTATCAGTGAAGGGGGATTCTGTAAGAGGAGCATATTTGATATAAAAAAAAATTGTAAAGGAACTAGAATTAAAGAAATAATCAAAGATAACGAACAATATTCAAGATAAATGGTCCATAGAACAATACAAAATAGGAGCTGAGTAGATACGATCTTCCAAAACATCAGAAGTTGGATCAGGTGCTATGGAGGAGTGAGCATTCTTTGCCGACCGAACATCCCCACAGTGTTTTCAAGTTATTTATTTCTTTGCGTCATACGACACATCAAATTACATATAATAAAAACTTAACACATATATACAATAAAATGCAACAACATGAAGGTGAGCATAATAAAAAAAACTAGCTAGTGAACTTCATCATAACAGGCATCTGTAATTATGATATACTTAAGGATATCCGATCCTCAGCCAGGAAGGATAACTCCAAAAATTTATATTTAATTTGAAATGCATCAAAATGAAGCTTGAAAATGAAATTTTTTCATGCAACAATTTTCATTTTATTCATCTATATAAGATTCAAGGTCTTTGGCAGTCTTAGAAAAGGTCCTATAAAAGTTGACATTTGTACCCTATAAAAGGAGAAAAAAATTAATACAGTTTTACTGAAATAAGATTTTCCTGAATCCAGCCATAGATACCAATGCTTCTTAGCATGATATGAAATGAGAAGTGATTTGTGGTGTCTTGCAATGATAGCAAAAGCCTTTTACACTATGTATTAAAGAATACATGACGGAAATAGAAGACAAAAAATACCAAATTAGTATAAAAATCATGACAATTTCTTTGAATGCCTGGGTACCTATCGTTTTTTAACCTTAAATATATTTGTTGATCAATATGATATTAAAAAATACATTGCTCATATTCCAATTCGCTTTTTCTGCAAAAATATTGGAGATTTGACAAATTTCCCTATATAATATGATTAACTTTAATCAATAACTTTAAAGAAATACTGTGGATAAATTTACATAACTCTGTGGATTCAGAGATACTTTTATGAGTATTTTTGATCACTTAAGTGCTAATTATATGAACCTGAGGATTGGACTACCTTAAAAAATTATAAATGATTCATTTTTTTTCTAATGGAAGTTTGATATATGTATTTTCCGAGATCATAAAGTTCCTTAATATTTTGTACACTTAAACGTTGAATTTATTTTCAAACACTGGATTTCTTATCATACTTTTTTTTCAAATATTTCAATCTTAAGATCACGATAAAAAGGACATTGTAGAATAAAATGAAATTCTTCTTCGCCAACATACGAAAAGCACATTTCACATAATCTATTTTTCCTATTTTCATAAGTGTATATACCAATTTTAACATTTAGATTATAGACAGATATGTTGCGAATTGTCGCAATTTTAATGTATCTTATAGAAATTTTATGATGTACATGTATAATCTAGAATGTTCTATATGTTTCATGAATGAATTCTCAAGAAGTCTCTAGAATATGGCAGAATGTGATGACCTAGAATTTTATAGAAGTTTCTATTTCCAGATGTTTCTTCAATACTATATATATGAGAGTTTTTGTGATCTTAAATCATTATCGATTTTACATTGAGTTGATTTAGTTTACACTGAAGAAAGATTGAATATATATCAGAAACCATCTGATCATCTTAGCCAATGTGGTATTGTGATTGTTAACCCTTGTGGATTTGTTTTGCCTTTAAATCGTCGTAATAAATTATAAAAAGAAGATTTCCGTGTGATTGTGATTTGCCACATTGTTTGGTGCCAGAACCCGGGAATTGGAGCCTGAAATCAAGAATTTATCACGGAAAAGAAGAAGATGTCAACCTCATACTTGAAAGGACTTTGTACAAGGTACAAGAATCTACTGCTGAAGGAAATGGTTAAAAGTAAGACATTTCTTTCTTCAGAAGCCGAAGAAGAGGATTTGACAACCAAGTTCAATCTTCCTTGAGACGGTTAAAGGACTTTGGTGCTAAATAAGAAGAATCTATGAAAGAACTTTCCATTGCCTTGGAAGCAAAACAAGACAATGAATCTGAAATTGAGAAATTTACAGAAGATAGTGAGAAGTTGTTTGAATTGCTCACAGATGTTGCAGAGCACTCAGAAGATATTCTACTACTGGAAAAAAGATTGGAACGAGCGGACATTCCATATATGAAAACTGAAGCACCAAATGACCCAAGAATAGACCACATGATAAATCTGCAGACAAAAATGCAGGAACAACTGATGCATTTCCAAGAACTCCAAATTCAGGAACTGCACAGAAAAGAGAAGATATGCAAAGAGAAAGAAACTCCAGTAGTTAAACTACCAAAGTTTGAGCTCCCTTCCCTTCATTCAATGGAGACAAATTAAAGTGGAAAGAGTTCTGGGACTCCTTTGAAGCTTCAGTACACAAAAACACAAGACTTTCCAATGTTGAGAAGTTCAACTACTTGAAAAATAAAATGGAAGGAAAGGCACAATCTGCTATTTCCGGCCTCATGCTCTCCCATGAAAATTATGATGTAGCTCTCTCCATATCGAAGGAACGATTCGGAGATGTGCAGTCTGTAATCAACAAACATTATGTGGACCTTATAAACATTAAGCCTGCACTCAATAATACTTCCAGTCTCCGTAGACTATTTGATGATTTAGAAAAGCATATGCGCAGCCTAGAAGCATTGGAACAGGATGTTAACCAGGATGTCTTTGTTTCCATGATTATAACAAAGTTACCAAAAGAAGCCAGATTACAATTAGAAATACAGAAAGGAAAGAAAGAGAATGGACTGTGCTAAACCTGAGAATGTTTCTTGATAACTACATAGCAGCCAGAGAGTCTACAGATATGGAAAACCTAGCCGGTCATGAAGAACAACCTGCTAGAAAACCTCCATTACCTGGAATGCTATATGGACATACATCTGCGGAAGCCTTAACAACATCATTTAAAGAATCTCCAAGAAGAAACAAAATTCAAAGAAAGTATCCCATTTGTATCTTCTGTGAACAAAATCACTGGAGTGACGAATGCAAAGAATTCAGGACAGTTGAAGACAGAAAACAAAAGATTAAGGGAAGATGTTATATTTGTCTTAGGCCAGGTCATCTTAGCAAAGACTGCAAAGTCGACAAACCATGTTTCCATTGCCATCAGACAAAGAAACATCACCGAAGTCTCTGCAACAAGAAAATGCTGCCTTTGAGAGAAACCTCAAACTTTGTTGAATCATCCGAACTATGTGACTCAGAAACAGTTAACAATGTTCGAGAAAACAGCCTACTGTCATCAGGAAGTATGGTCCTAATGCAAACTGCAAAAATTGATGCATCAGATCTGAATGGATCGAGATTTGAAACAATAAGAATTCTCATGGACTCTGGGTCTCAAAGAACGTATGTTACCGAGGAATTAGCTTCAAGATTGAATTTGAAGAGGAAAAGAACAGAGGAAATATCACTTGTCACCTTTGGATCCACGAAACCGAAAATAGTAAAAACTCCAAATATATCTTTAAGAATTAAACTGAAGGATGGACACCACATGAGAATTGAAGCAAATGTTGTGCCTCAAATAACCGGACCAATACACAGACGACCGTTACCACCTAACATCATTGAAAAGGTACAGTGCCAATGGAAACATCTACAGTTTGCAGATACCTTACCAAAAACTACAGAGAATTCAACTATAGACATCCTTATTGGGAATGACTATTATCTTGATTTGGTATCATCAGAAAAAATTGAAGTTGACCATGGACTTTACTTGCTCTCATCAAAAGTAGGATGGATTCTCACTGGACGAACACAAGCTAACTTTGAGGTATCCAGAGATAATTTACACCAAATGCTGATTGTAAATGGAAACAGTCTAACAACGGAATATTGTCTTCATTCCTCTGTCGATGAATGTTTGCCCTTGAAGCCATCACTAGACGAGTACTGGAACTTGGAAACTATTGGAATCAAGGATCAGCCCCACTCATCAGATGATGACAAGGCTTTAAAAAACTTTAACGAAATAATAAAACTAGTCAATGGTAGATATCAAGTCACTTGGCCCTGGAAGGATGAGCAACCTGAACTCCCAGAGAACAGAGAACTTGCCTTTGGAAGGTTGAAATCTCTACTTCAAAAACTAAAAAAGAACCCTGAGCTGCTGCACCAATATGATGGAATAATTCAGGACCAATGCAAGCAAGGTATAATTGAAAAGGTGACAAAGAGCAGTGAAGTGAAGAATAGTGTCAAACACTACATACCCCATCATGCTGTCATTGATCCAACAAAGCCTACCACAAAAGTACGGATCGTCTATGATGCATCGGCAAAGGTCAAACCAGAGTGTAACAGCCTTAACGAGTGTCTTTACAGAGGACCAGTGATGCTAAATGATTTGTGTGGACTGTTGTTGAGATTTAGAATGAAAAGGATTGCAATTATTGCTGACATAGAAAAGGCATTTTTACAGATTGAATTACAAGGAAAGGACAGAGATGTGACAAGATTCTTTTGGTTAAAGGATATTGAAACTCCATCCACAGAGAACAATATTCAAGTATACAGATTTACGAGAGTTCCATTTGGGGTTATATCAAGCCCTTTTCTATTGGCTGCAACTTTAGATTACCATCTTGGAAACTACAACACTGCAACAGCTGAAAACATAAGACGTAATATCTACGTGGATAATGTTATCACTGGTGTAGAGTCTGTCTCAGAGGCTAGGAAACTATATACAGACGCCAAAGAGATCTTCAGTACCATGTCAATGAATTTACGAGACTGGGCATCTAACTCCACAGAATTTAGCCAGTGTATTCCTCAAGCTGATCAAGCAAACAGAGAAACATAAAAATTCTTGGTTTGTCTTGGAAACTTTCTGAGAACTCCCTATTCATAAACAGTCCAAGAGATGAAACTCATATTCCACCTATCACCAAGAGGAAAGTCCTTCAAAGAATTGCTTCTGTTTTTGATCCACTTGGGTTCTTTACCCCAGTTACTTTGAGAACAAAGTTGTTTCTACAAACATTATGGAACCAAAAGAAAGAGTGGGATGAAGAACTGACCAAAGAAGACATTCTGCGCTGGGAAAATATATCCGCAGACCTGAATGATATTCCCAATTGCCCTATTCCTCGTTTTATTGGACTTCCTGGTACAGTGACATACAATTTAATGTGCTTTTGTGATGCATCAACTAAAGCGTATGCATGTGCGGTCTATTTACATCAGAGCAACAAAGAAAGAAGTACTGTCAACCTGCTGTTTTCTAAAACTCGATTAGTGCCACTCAAAAAAATAACACTGCCTAGATTGGAACTATTGGCTGTTGTCATTGGAGTCCGATGCATTAACTTTGTTGAACAACAACTGAAGTTACCTGTCACAGAAAAGATCCTTTGGAGCGATTCCCAATGTGTATTACATTGGATAAGAATGAAGAAACCTCTGAAAACTTTTGTGGAAAACAGAGTAAAAGAAATCAGAAACAACAAGGATATCACTTTTCAATATGTGTCTACAAAGGATAATCCAGCTGATATTGCAAGCAGAGGAACAACAGTTAAAACTCTTCAAGAATTTGAACAATGGTGGAATGGTCCAGAATGGTTAATTAAGAGGAAAGATAATTGGCCTTCATGGAACAGTCAACAAACCTGTAAAGAAATGCAGAGTGTCATAGAATCAGAATGCAAGACTCCAGAGATAGTTTATGAAGCAAAGCTGGTGGCTGGGGAGAGTCCTAACGGAAGAAAAAACAACTCAGATTGTGACTCAACTAGATATCCAAACATCATTGACTACCAAAATTTTTCATCATTTATAAACCTTACTCGAGTTTTAGCATGGACTCTTAGGTTTATCAAAAGTGAGTGAAGAAAATTCCAATGCCTTGGAACCATCTAACTTACTCAGAACTACAGAATGCTAAAATTCTTGTGATAAAGAATATCCAGGATCAAAACTATGGTGATATCAAAACCGCACTTAAAGAAAAGAAAAGAAATAATTTAGTTAGTCAACTAGGACTTGGATTGGATCAGGAAGGAATCATCAGATGCATTGGAAGACTCAAGAATGCTCAGCTGTCAGAAGGAGCAAGAACTCCCATCCTCCTTCCAAGAAAGAACCATGTGACGGGGCTAATTATTGATTACATCCACAAAAAATCATTTCATGTCGGAGTCTCCCAAACACTGTCATTGGTTCGTCAAGACTACTGGATTCCACAGGGAAGAGCAGAAGTAAAACGAATACTTCGTAAATGCACAATCTGTAAGCGGTTTGAGGGTGGTCCTTACAAGATGCCACTGATGCCTCCACTACCAAAGAAACGTGTGAGTGAATCAGCACCATTTACATACACGGGAGTGGATTACTTTGGACCAATCTTCATCAAAACAGAAACTGGCAATACAAAGGTATGGATCTGTCTATTTACCTGCTTGGTAGTAAGGGCCATACATCTTGAACTCATGCAGGACATGTCCACAGAACAGTTTCTACTAGGACTAAGGAGATTTATTGCGCGTTGGGGCAAGCCAAAACAAATTATCTCTGATAATGGTGCTCAATTCAAACTTGCAAGCCTGGTTTTGGAAAAAAGTTGGGAAAAAGTCAAGTCTGATAAGGATGTTCAAAGTTATATTGCAAATGAAGAGATTCAGTGGCAATTTATTGTGGAACTGGCACCATGGATGGGAGGATTTTATGATCTGGTTGGTGTTGTCAAACGATGCTTAAGAAAAACTATAGGAAAACTCTGTTTTAGAAATGAACAAATGAGAACAATGCTTGCAGAGGCTGAGGCAGTCGTGAATTCTAGACCCTTAGTATATATTGGAGATGATATTAATTCAAACATCACCCTAACTCCAGCGCATTTCCTCACTTTGAATCCAAAAATAGGACTTCAAGATAGTGAAAATTTTGATCCCATGGACCCAGACTATGTACCTGTTGCAAGCTCTGTAAACACTTTATTGGCAATTTGGAAAAAAGGTCAACGACTTTTAGATACATTCTGGAAGACATGGAGAGATGAGTATCTTTTAAGTCTAAGAGAAAGAACATCCTATAAATTAAAAGGAAAACGGATTCAAGACAACAGACCGGCAAGAATTGGTGATGTTGTCCTCATCAAAGAAGATCTCCCTAGAGGAAGCTGGAAGATTGGAAGAATTTGCGATTTGACAATGAGTCAAGATGGACAATACAGGTCCGGAAAGGTAATGTTACCTAACAAAAGAACATTAAACCGACCGTTAAATTTACTTTATCCCATAGAATGCACCGATAAATCTGACCTTGGTGATAGTGATATGACAAAGGAAGAGCCAGCAGTCGATGGTATTCCTCCGTTACCTAGAGCGAAAAGACAGGCCGCTGAAAGAGCGACAAAACTGATAAAGGAACAATTAAATTAATGATTAACTTTCCTTGGTCTTGGGAGTGTTGCGAATTGTCGCAATTTTAATGTATCTTATAGAAATTTTATGATGTACATGTGTAATCTAGAATGTTCTATATGTTTCATGAATGAATTCTCAAGAAGTCTCTAGAATATGGCAGAATGTGATGACCTAGAATTTTATAGAAGTTTCTATTTCCAGATGTTTCTTCAATACTATATATATGAGAGTTTTTGTGATCTTAAATCATTATCGATTTTACATTGAGTTGATTGAGTTTACACTGAAGAAAGATTGAATATATATCAGAAACCATCTGATCATTTTAGCCAATGTGGTATTGTGATTGTTAACCCTTGTGGATTTGTTTTGCCTTTAAATCGTCGTAATAAATTATAGAAAGAAGATTTCCGTGTGATTGTGATTTGCCACAAGATAGTCGAATTCTAGCGATTCGTACTTTGTACATATAATAAAAAAGTTTGACGCAAGTAACATTGTATACAAAAATTATCTTTCTAACCTTGAAATAGCGGGCTACGGGCATTGTTACAGATGTTGCTAAACATAGATTGATTATTAACGTCAAAAAAATCTTTGTTTTACTTACATAAAATTACATGAATCTTTGTTTTACTTACATATTAGAATTGTCATTGAAATCAACACTAACTATATTTGCAAGTCTCAGTTTATTAATATCATGTTGACTGCCTCTTACCCAAATATCATTATTCCTTATTCTTTCTTCAAAAAAGGATTTTTGTAGAATATTTTGTGTCCCTTCAATTAAAAAAAAAATATTTTATATATTTCAGCTTTCTATATTCCCTCGTCGCCCGCGTAGCGAGGTAGTTGACGTTGATCCTTCCGTCGCGGGTTCGAATCCCACTGTAGGATGTGGAGACCGGGTCTTTTGGATGAGACTGTATAAACTGACGCCCTGTGTCGCAGTAGTTGATGGCACGAAAAAAGATTCCTCCCTGCTAAATGGCCCTGAGTGCCGAGTACAGGACAAAATTTACAGCTTTCCACCTACAAGTGGCGGCGTCTCCATATGAGTGAAAAATTTTCGAGAGGGACGTTAAACAATATACAATCAATCAATTCATCTATATTCCCTCATTAGCATTCTTCCGAGTTCCAAATAAACGAGATTGTTACAGGCACCCTTTTTTACACAAAGCAACAAAAACAAAAAATATTTGATATAAATCTGAAGCTTCATGCATACTAATAACCCCACACCTCTTCTCTATAATAAAGAATGCTATATACAAACATTTCAAAAAGTGATATTTGAGATTCAACATTAAAACCTAAGTTGCAGAATTTTTTGTTCAATGACATAATGCTTTTCTTCCTTGTTCAGCAACGTGTTTTGAGTTACTTCAAAATTACAATTTAATTATAATTAAATTACATTCCCATTTAGCTCAATCTATCGTGTGCTCCTTGTCATCATCGGAAAATAACGGGAAAATCCGTCGACAATTCAGTGTGAATATAATATCCTAGCAAGTAGTATGAAAAATGTCAGTCAGCGTCTGACTTATAATGATAAATTGTATTTACTGAAAAAGTCATTGTATCGACCATAGAACTTACAAAATGATTATTTGAAACAGGACCGCTGATATTCTTATTTGATCAACTTGTTAATTGAAAAATAAAATGTTGCAACCTCCACCTTTCCATTTAATAATAGTGATATCAAATACTAGTATGAGATTTCAATTCCTTACCGCGCTCCATCTTCAAAGCATGGTGCATTATGTTCTTGGTTTTTTTAAATATATTTCGCTCTTAATCAAGAGAGCAAAAAGCAACCACGTAGATATAGAATGGGAAAAGAACACTTGTATGAGTATCCTGTGAAAATTTTATTCATAGTTTTGAGCATTACATAAGTACATGCGATCGAAGAATGTCCGCTACTGATGAACTTTAATTATAGTTAGTCAAGTGCTTATTTTATGAGTTACTTTGTAATTGTTTAAAGATTAGATTAGATTAGATTGATACTTATATCAACATATTATATAGGTAGATATTACATACCCTAAACCGTGCTACTACACCTCAGAAACGAACCGTACCGTTCCGTGCAGAAAGCGCACCGTACCGTGAACAAAGCGTACCGTTCCGTGCACAAAGCGAACCGTTCCGTTCACAAAGCGTACCGTTCCGTCCGCAAAGCGAACCGTTCCGTCCACAAAGCGTACCGTACCGTTCTCAAAGCGAACCGTTCCGTTCACAAAGCGTACCGTAAAGTCCACAAAGCGTACCGTTCCGTGCAAGAAACGAACCGTACCGTTCTTTGGTTAATTATGCAAACCACACCCCCAATGATTTTTGAATCGTGTCATGACCAAATAAGTCATTTTGGTTTATTTCTCGCTACGGCGCCTGTGAAAGGAGGACGGAGGTTGTGTCTGCCTGTTCGAAACACCATTATCAGTATCATGAGTCAGGGCCTTCAGCTGTAAAAATAAGGAAACTACTCGAAGCAAACTACAACTTTAAAACAACTACCGATAGACAGAGTGTGAGACGATTTTTTTATTTGCTATAAATTAGATCAACTGGTTGTGTTTGTGGTCAAAGGTACAGTACAGGCCACGAGTTTTTCCCGAAAAAGATGTAGGGGCACAGTGGACCTCGAACAATGTCGGCGTCTTTGAAGTCTTTCATTTTCTTTATATTAGCAAATTAAATCAATTTCCTTTTGAAATATTAGTTGTATTTAAATATTCGTAATTTAACTATACAGATATTTAAACTTATATTATAAGATGCCCCAAAATTCAATATAATCGTGCTCGTGTCCGGGGTAAAAACCCTCTTTTAATGTGTACATGTACATTCATGTTTCATAATCCTACAATTGTTTTAGACATAAAAATAGGTTCAATAGACTATAATACCACTAAGATAGAACACGTTTTTATGAATTAATTCCCTGGTTGTCTCTACTTTTGATTTTAATTTTGCTCATTTAAGTTATTAAATCTTATCGGATACATGATCGTTTTTGTCGTAAGTATGCATTCATATGTAGTACATATCAGATGCGTGATTTTACTAATGAATTATTTCGTAAGAATTTTAAAACATATATAAACTGTCTAGAGTAAAATTTTAAAAAGAATCGTATTAGACTCTCACATTAATTCTTTTAAGATTTTTACTATAGGCTAATCATTGGTGCAGTTATACTTACACTGAAAATCTGTAATCATGTAAAATATGGATTAAAATGTTACATGCGGTAACGTGAAGATTTCTACAGAACTGACAGAGATGATAATCTTACAAATAAAACTGTGATCAACTTTCACGCTGCATACAAAAATTGCCAACCGAATTTCTTGCAAATAAAATGTGCAAACTGCAGTATAAATATTACTTCATTCTGAAATACATCTCATGAAAAATTAAAAAAAAAAAAAAAAAAACAGATTG